CTTTTCTAGATCTTCTCTAGTTTTCGCTTCCACAAGATCTTGTATTCCAAGAGATTCTAGGTTTCAGAGATCAGTGATTAGGACATGATTAGACTACCAGGGTTGATGATTGTGTTTGAATTCGCATTTTTCTCATCAACACTCATCCGAGATTTGTCTCCATTGCCACAGAACCACTTCTAAGTTCATATTTTCGTCCCGTATACAACTTTCCCAACACGTTCCCACCGACGAGTAGGTACTTCTACTTCTTCATGATAACTTCCTGTGTCGGTGAGATAGGCATGAAAATTGTCCAGTTCTTGAACCCATGGACCATGAGTAATGGTATTAATACTTCTAGGCATTCTTTGTGAATCTGAGACGTCAAAATCAAAATACAGTCTTACATCAGAAATTTTAATCTTGTATTCTTTATGTTTTTTTGGTTGTGATTATACTCGTCCAAATAAAATTGGTGTATACTCTGTTCTTCGCCAATTGCAACCATTCCGATTTCTTTAGCTAATTTCTCCAGCTGTTTGGGGATATTTTTCTTATACTTATTTTATGAAATTGTTAACTGTTACTTTTTTCTGCCTTTTCATCTAACCCATAAAAATCCTTATCGCAGTCATTCTTTTCCGTTGACTTCTTTTTGCAGAAACTGTATGGGTTTTTCTAGATAATCTTCAATTGTTGTGTTGACGCCAGTGAAACGGTTACACTTCTATGCAACAAACACATCTTCGGGAAGCGTTGATTCCACCATCGAATACAAAACCGCTTGCACACTTATCAGCGATCACACCTAGGGATCCAAGAGCACGTAACGGAGAGGTAAGACGCACATAGATACGGAAAAATTAAGATTCTCTTTCTTCATTGCATTCTCCAACAAGAGTTTTAGAAGGTCTCTTACCAACATATCCGTTCGTCCAAAACTTTCACATAGACTGACAACGGCCAATTCATAATTTTCTTCCGTCAATGGATAACTATGAATTAATTCCTGAGCTTTTGAATCATCATTCATGTAAAGTACTGGAATTTGACGGTTGTAGCGATAATCTTGTCAGTGTGGACAATATTGTGACTAAAACTAACCATTCACGTGCTTCACCTCCAAACTTGGGTAACTGCAACTTAGCTAACCGATTGTGAGGTTGAGATGAAAGCCGATACTGTATTGACTGCTGTTTGATTTGACAATTTCAATATTCGGTTCGTTTTCCTCACAAGTTTCCCTGCGTTGCCACACATTCAACGTAATTCCTTTTCTTGGTCATTCAATGTCAGAGCCAATTGCTACAAAAATCCGTAATTCACCACTAATATCAATCACTTTGTGGATCCGTTACCTTGCAAATTAAATACTTGACGAGAGTTTACTGGGAGGAGGATATTCCGCGGCGAGTAATTTTGGATTTTTGGCGAATTTTACACCGTGGTCTTTGGGATTTAAAAATCAGCAGCTTTGAGCAACCTTCAAAATAAGTCGTGCCTTCCTTTTCGTAATGTAAGCGCGAACTAGTTCTCCATTGTAATGCATATCGAAACAATGTCTATATTGGGGATGAATGAGATCGGTGGACCGACTGATGTTTGCGTAGTCAAAGCACCAAATCGATATCTAAAGTTCCCGAAATAAAACGAAAAAGTCGTTGAGGGCGACATATATTAATGTTTTGGTGTTGGCAACTAAATAGTAACACGTGGAGTTCCATAAATTATTTATAAGCGTCCTGTTAAATATGTAGATTACATTTCGGCCGATATCCCGCATTTAGTTCGCTTTCGGAGATTCTCTCTCGGTTTGATTTAATAACGTTTATATAGATAATTGATATTCTTCGGTTGAACTTGTTTAAGCTCGAAAAGTCTCCGAGCTCTCATAAAACTTTTGTTACGTTAAAACATAAACAACCCTTGCAACATGTGTACGCGACTTTTACAACGTATCCATTACTCTTCCAAACTGTTTTATTTTACTGCCTCACTTTTCGAAAACATTTGGACACAATACGTTTCCGATAGTTGAATTTGCTGCATTTAGAAGTGATATCCACGTAACTGCGATTACAGCATCAATAAAATTGACTACCTCATATGTTAGAAACCAGAGTCCTATAAATAATTTTAATCAAATTCAGGGTTAATTTCGAAATTTTAAGGAAAATAGCCGTCCGCCAGTAACATTTTGGGAAAAAACGTTGTCAACGGCTTATTAGCACATACCTCCTTACAGTAAATTATTTAAGGTTCATTTTATGTAAATATGACATTTAATGTAGTAATTACGTATCCTGTTCACGTGTTTAACTTATTATGGTAAACACGCACGAAATTTTTTGTCTATTAGTACGCATGGAACCGAAACTAACCTTCACAAAATCATCACTTCATCATTGATAGTATCTACATTACTTAGTACTATTAATGAATTTGGGGAAAACTATTATTCCGTGTACTTTTATCTGCCGCCTTTGATGTCTTGCTACTTACAAATTACAGAGATTCAGTTTTAACATAAATAAATTCTTCTTTCAAACTTGAGAATGACAAAAATTATTCAAATTTGAAATATTCTAGACAAAGATCACGGTGGTACAAATCGTTTAAGGCGATTGAATTGCAAATTTTGTTTTAAAAAAATTAATTTTGCAAGTCCAAATTAATATACAAATTATATCATACCGAAATGTAGAATTATAAAATTAAATCATTTCCTGTCATATGATTTTGTCGGTAACGGTTCCTCGTGATACAGTTTAATTTTTTCTTCGTAAGAAATATTTTTGGAATCCAAAAGAATTTTGCTGTCAAATTTTGTAAAAATAGAGGTCTCTGAATAATGTAGTACATATAACTTTTAGTGGCCGGTTTTTTTCCATTCATTGGGGGATTGTATGTTTCGATATAGGAGCTGGGATACGAGGTGGGATATGTCGATATAGTCTCTAACTGTGCATAAAATGTCTACCCCGATTTCTACCCCTCGAGCTTTTGAAATCGCGGGTGTTTCACGACAGGGATCATAGGCAACTGTCTAAATCGATGTCAAATGAACTCTTCTCGATTTTCAAAGTACGTATTTTTTTTTAAAATAGCACTTCGCTCTTATTTTGCGAGGATTAAAATTTTTGGAGTGCATGAAATACATTTCTTTTTAATTTAATTATGTTTAAGAGGTCCCCAAGCAATCCTCTGAAGACAACGGTTAATTATTTGCCCTTACTTTGTAATTATACATTACGGGGATTGTAATTTTTAAAACGAATAACCCTCGGAATAAACTATTTTTGTTTCTTTATACTAGGTGTTACATATAAAGTATGTCAACAAAATTGGGTGGTGTAGGTGAGAATAATGGGTAGAAAAAAATATTGGACTATTTTTATGAGGGTACCTATACTTAATGATATATGTATAGTAATGGGCAAAGTCGGAAGAGTTATATATTTCCAACAGGATGGGGCATCGCCACACAACTTTTACAGCAGTGCTGTTTTGCGCCGTTTTTTGGAGATTGGTGGATAGGCACTAATTGACTAGTTCGCCTCGTTCACCAGTTTTAACCCCTCTGGATTTCTTTCATTGGGGTGTAAAATAGGAACCTTATACAACAATACAACGACTTCATAGATCACTTGGAATAATGTTCATTTATTGTTATGGAACTTTACTTAAATGACATTTTCAAAAATCCCATATCACCCGCAAATTGTTTTCTATTTTCAGCTTGTTGTTGGTAACACTGTGGCTCATCTTGGTTTCTTTCGTTGGTATTGATGCTCTTCATGATTCGCATTTTGGAAGGATCTATAGTTTCTAAATTACCGTAGAATTTCTTGGTCCTCTGATGCAAAACATCAATTTCGGCCCATAGTCGCTTTGGACGATGCGAGTTTCATGGACTTCTTCTGAATCCGTAAAAGCAGTCGTTACTTGTCGCCTAAAAGGATCTTGTCGTCCTTCTAGTACTTCACTAATCTCCAGGGTTTGCTACTTCTTCTTTGTATTGGCCCAATAATTCTTGACTTTTTGGATTTCGTTTCTTAACTTTTGTTACTCGTCGTCGACAACAGCCTCTTTTAAATCTCTTCCATTCTCTTCTCTAATCTGCTTTCACATACAACAGTGAAGCCTCCCTTAGTGTCCCTCTAAATAAGAAAAATGTTTTAAAATATCCCAAAAATTATTAAAATTCATTATATCGACTTAAATTTTTTGTTATTTTCAACTAACTACATGCATGCGAAATTAGATGATTGAGTAGTCTTTTTAGAAACTTCACTCGAAAATGTTATATTTTTGGAATTTTTTTTAATATGGTCTTGGTCTTGCTGGAAGTAGTGACGTAGTGAATTTTGCTAGATATTTTCGTGGAAATCAATGTGAATAGTGTTTTTCTTCGAATGGTTCAATTTACAACATTTTCAGGAAACCTCTTTTGTGGTGACGATCCATGGATGTCGAAATACGTTATTGTTGTAAGAAAACACTAACCCTCCCCCATAATACTATGCGATCAAAGAGTTGCTGTCGAGTTACCTTTGAAATGTTTGTTTACATGGGAAATCGTACTTAACGTGAACTTCCAAAGGCGAGTCGACAGCAATTCATTTTTGATGGCCCATTATTGTTTATTAGACAGACAAGAAAATACGGCTAACGTAAAGCAAAATGATCTTTCCGTAAAGCGACCAGTTCGGTAATTTGTCATCTCAACATAATGGATGAGGTTTAGTGTTTTCTTAAAACCGCCTGTGAAAATATTCTACAAATCTTTCCGGAAAAGTTATTAGAAAAGAAAATTCCAATAAATCAGTTTCAGGAGTTTCTGAAATTTTAGAGCTGAAAAATGGATACAAAACAATTATTTATTGTTTCAAATGAAAGGTTTATAAATACCAGCACGTACATATATGTAAATGCACCGGGCATTCCTGCAAATTAATTTAAAGTACTGCCTCCATTGCAATATACATAAATTATTAATTGAATTCTATTCTTTTTAGGGTTCGGTCGATATGGAGTTTACTCTTTGTTTCCTGGTGGTCCGAATCTAGGCGGTGCCATATACTCGCATGCAAGCACAATCGGGCGTTTTTCTTCCGGTGTTCCACCAACGGGGGCGCCATTTCATGCGACACATAAGGGTAAGTTAAAATAAAGTCGTGTAATTATCGTGCTTATCTGAAACGTTATAATTGATGTAGACGAGCTGCGCAATTGTTTTGCTAATTTTCGTTGCAATTCCTCTCGAAACAGTATCATTACTGTACATAATCATTATTTATGCAGTTAATTAAAAGTTTTAGAGAGAGTTTATTAATTACATTGTGTTCGTACAAAGACTTATTTTTCGTTTTTTTGGACGACCTGAACAAATTGAATTTGTCTCTAGTCCCGGAAAGAAATAAGATTTTTCTTTGTGGCCTGTTTATTTCTACGATTTTCATCTTTTCATACTTATACGCGACTTGAATAGAAATTAAAACATAATGTAATTAATAAATGCCCATAACTAATAAATGTGTTTTATGGCAATGGGGATGTTAAATTTTAACAACCTCGATAGTAGGTCTTGAATCTTGGGACCTTTGCCAAGCTTGGGATACTTCCTTGAATCCTAAAAATCTTGGCGGTCATTAGATTAGAATGTAAGGCCTCCTGGGATTATTCGGAAATCTGGAAACTTTGAAAATGTTATTAGTGAATGTCGTATTTATTTTGGAATTATTAAAACGCTTTCGAATTTTTATATAATTTTGAAAATCTTAGGAACTGTTTTATTGATTAATATTGGTAGTATTCGTCCTAATCCTATCATTTTATTGGAATGCAGAGGAGGATTCAACCTTATCGGTCCTTTCTTTAATATATGCCAGCATTGTCGACGCATTGACGACTTTCTTCGTAAGATACTTCCTATTCATTCACGAAAACAACTTTTTATATAATTTATAATAGGTTTTACTAAATTTGCATTGGCAGTTGTGTTTGGTTCATTTATCTGGAGAATTTGTTTGTTTGACTGGAATGGTTGTTGTATCAAATTCATTGAATAATAAATCTGAATAGAAGGTCAGTGAGATAGGAGAAAAGGTGGCCAGTATTCTTTATCTAGAATGTGCTGGTATCGTACGGCAAGTAACAAAACGTGATTAAAGGAAACTCTTCAACATTTTTTAATTCATACAATATAGCCGAGATACTCACTTCAAAATGAGTAGAGAGGTGAGAGAGAATGTTTTGACTACGGTGACATCATGCCATTGATAAACTTACCCACGTAGGTAACTGGATACCTTTGATACAAAGATCGTCTAAATATAGTTTTCAGATGAATATCCGACTTAATTTTTTAACAAGTTATAAGTTCTTAATTCAATAATAATAACAGCGTTGTTGCAGAACGTAAAAAGTCAATTATTGGATACAAGATAATTAGACAACAATATGCTATGATAATATGATAAAGGGTCCGTTCACTTAGCCAAAAATGAACTAATTTTTTTTACGTATTGTGCCTCAATAATCATTTGTGCTCAATAGTGCATTTATTCGCACCGTTTGTGCCTTTTTGGTTTTGGAGATAATAGGACAAATCAAATGGGGGCAACTTAAATCGTTATTTTTTTGTTATTTGTGACATTTTCAACTAACTACATACGAAATTAGATCATTCACTATAGTAGTAGGCGAGAGACACTTTGCCCCAAGGCCCATTCTCCAAACGAGTACCTATAACTTTAGTTTGAAAAGTTATTTTAAAATTTTGTTCCTTAACTCATCCAGTATGTACACAACCAATTTCGTGGAATTCTCTCCATTTTCGTTGTCCGGCCAAGAATTGCAGTGGAACTTTTTTTTCGAATTTTCAAAAACTAATTCCAGATTCGTGATTTTTATGTTCAAAAACCGCCAGGCACCAAATTTCGTCGAAGCAGGGGTGCGCCTTTCCGTGATAGGAATTTTGAAAATTTTTTCAAAATCGGAAAGGGCATACCCGAAAACCTAATTAAAAACGTGTCACTCATCTTTGTAACTGTTGTGTAGTGATTGTTGCAGGTACGGTGAAAATTTTTTTGCGGTTTTAGGTCACTAAGTAGGTCTATTTTAAGAATCCGCCCAAAAATGTCTGCAAAAAATACAAAAATTAATTTTTTTAAAAATATGGGCATGTAGCACATCGATTTTAGGGTTTTGAAGTTTTCTGAATTTAAATTTTTAGTTAAAAACGTTTTTGGGGGCATTTTGGAGGAGTGGGGGGGGTTTTTAAGGGGTGGGTTTTTATATTTTTTCAATATTAACGTGTCGCTGTCATACATCGATTTATATGTTTTTATGGATAAGGATCTCGAATTCCATATCAAAATGGAGGTACAGCAAGTTATTCAATGTTAAAAAAGTAGAACGACGCCGACAGACGGCCCGAAAATATCATAAAACGCGCGGTACGCCTCGTCCGCGCTGCACGACATCATTTTAATAACCTGTATAACCAACTTTAAATGACATCCTTACCTTTCCATGTCTGTATATATTAGAAGTTTTAGTTTTTGTTAAGATGAATTCAGATATTTTCAATCGTCTGAACACTAATTGATATATTTCTTGCAGACGTCTCAATCGCCCTTTGTGAGTACCACGAACTTATAAATTAAGATGGACTGTTAATGCTGAATTGACAAATGACACCTACAAAACCAGTTCCACCCCCCTCCCCCTCTGATCTCGAAAATGAGTCGCCCGGAAAAGCTATAGTTTGTACAAATCAGTTTCTTTTGATGAGACCTAAGCGTTCACTTAGCCCCAGGCTTAGCCCCCATTTGAGTTTTCCTATTATCTCCGAAACCAAAAAGGCACAAACGATGAGTATGAAAGCACGATTAAACACAATCGAAGTACTACGCAATACCGTCGATGAACTATCAAAAAGTTTAATTTTTGGGAGGGCTAAGCGTTCACTTAGCCCCCATTTGATTTTTTCGATTATCTCCAAAACCAAAAAAGCACAAACGGTGCGCATAAATGCACAATTGAGGCACAATACATAAAAAAAATTGGTTCATTTTTGGGCTAATGGGGGGCTAAGTGAACGGACCCTATGATAAATGTATGTTCTCTTGATTTATTTTTTGACGGTAAAAAACATTCCATTGAATGCGATTGACGACTGCGTCTTTTCTCTTGCTATGGAAATTCATAATAGCTTTGAAATTTCTTATTCGATCCGTAAACTCGAGAACTTAAGCCGTTCTCTGCATACGACTAGGAAAGCGCTAAGCGCTTCAATAGAAATTATATGGGTCGAATAGCGTGTCTACGTGTGGGACTTGTATAACATTTTGAGTAAATTGGATTCTTTCTATACCGTGTTGTTAGGTGCCGATGTAAAGATAAAGGACACATCTATGCCTCTATTGTAACAGATTTTTGATTTAATACTCGAATTTTGCATAAATAATTGTAGAAGTACCTACTTGATATTTATGGTATTTTCAGGTGCCGTAATTATTATCTAATATTTAAAAAATATCAAAAATATGTTACAAGAGAGACGTAGAAAAAGGTTTAGAAGCAAACGTGCCGGCATGGCGTTTTCGAGTCTTCGTTTCGTAAAAGTGCAATACAATTTCTTTCATGAAGCCGATTTAAAAAACCTTTCATTTCACATCATAATAGATTATATTGCACTTCTCTCATTTGAATTTTAAAGTTGTTGTTTAAAGTAGTACTTAATTTCAAATTTTGTCTCAAAAACATGTTATTTGTGCATTTATATACGGAAACAGCAATTAAACAATATCTGTAAATGCTCGCACAACTGAGACTGACAGTATATTGCATATTCTGAAATATCCCAAAACATTGTCTATAGGTACAATAATAGTAAAGTTTAATTTCGATCTTAAAGTCTACATAAGGTAAAATCGTTGGAATCAAGATTTACTTGTAAGTTGATAACTTTGACGTCATTTCCTAAGAGGTGTGCAAATAATAACATGTATTACGTAAGCATAAGTTTGTAAATACAGAGATAATATTGCAATACGATACGATCTTCACCTGCTGTTATAACTCCCACGCAGTCTACGAGATAAGTACGCGAAAGTAGCGTCATCTAAAGAAATCTAATCACGTTGATTCAGTTGAGTAGGTGGTATAAAACCTCGATTAAAATTTAGTTACTTTTAATAAGCGGAGTTTGTCCCAGAGGGCAACCTACGGAGAAACTCCGTTAAAGTGGGCCCTTCAAAAAGCATTGCGTTGTCTTTCTATTCAGATTTATTATTCAATGCGTTATTACTACTTATAGCTATTAATTCGGCCGTCCGTGTGATCGACAGTACCGCGGCAATTTGAAAGTCGCATATACCTATGAAGGCTGGACATCGGAGAGGATCTTTTCGTTCTCGAGTAAGGAACAGACGGACGGACAAAACCATCACATAACGGAAATTTCTTTTGAAAAATTTTCTTAAAACCGAGGAAAAAACTGAAAAACAGGATGTCACAAACTCGACATTACACCAAACTTTTTTTTTATTGGTTGGTGTAATGGTCAAAATCGCTGGGATAAATAAATGGAAGATCAATTTATTTTCAACCCTTCAGTTCCGAGTCAACATTTATTCCTTTTTTGCACAGTAAGTAAACTCGAAACTACGTTAAGGTATACGCCGGAAACTGTACATTGAAACCAACCTAGGAAGCAACTTTTTTAGAATTAGGTACCTAACTTGCTAGAGGGAGAAAGCAAAAGTAATGTTATTGAATACTGGCCTCTTATTGGAAAGAAAACTGTATTGTTAAGAGTAAATACTAAATTATTCACCTTCAGACAACACTGTTTTTATGTGCCTTTCTTTCTTTTAGTACGTACTTTGGGAAATTGGCGTCAATTCATTAATTAACCAGTTTTAACGTATGTTAGCTGTATTTGTGTACTGCAATATACACTACAGTTGTTTATTTGCAAAACTGATTAGAACTAGTAACCATTGAGAACTTTTGTGAATTAAGGGATTGAATTAGTCAATATTACTCTAATTAGTAATTACAGTATCCGTGCGGAAAGTTTACAGATCTTGAAGTGCAAAATCAAGCAAATGGAAACTATGGAAGATTGATAGATATTTATCGC